TCTAACGTCCGCGGCCTATATCACGATTGTTACACCAACAGTGGCGCATTTTTCTTTTTGATATGTAACAACAATAAGGTTCTGATTCAAGACAGCAATTACAATATAATATAATCTCTAACAAAAGAACTAGGCAGGAATACATCTCAAAACATATTTGTAATTAAAAAAAAAAAACAGCTGCAAAGCAACGAGTGTAACCTCTTTTTGAGAGCACAAGCACGTCTTATCTTATCACACATCTGAAAAGGACTACGTCTTTTGTAACTGCCCCCGGTGTGATTTAATGCAGTCGTCGGCAGGCTTTCAGCCATCATCATTACTGGACTCTGCTTATATGTTAAACCACGCTATTTTAATTAGAAAGATGACCGAGCTTCCAAATATATTACTTTGTCCGGTACTAATTAATAAACTTCCAGATGATTATTGTAATCACTTGTTTGCTGCAATCACCCAGAAGGAAACTAAAAAGACGTTTTTCTTCTTCTTCTTCTTCTTTTTTACCAGGTTTCCTTAAAAAAAAAATGGTAAAAGGTTTCCCCGCTGAAAAAGTCCTGCTTGTGTTATTTTCCTCGCCAGTGTCATGTGCCAACAATGCATCATGAATGGCGACGCGTTTGAGTGCCAAGTGGAATAACAAACAAGGGAGAAAAAAATGACCACGTGTGTGTGTAGATGGATGCATGCAGAAGCAAAGGGACAAATCTGGGAACCAAAAAGAAAGAACGACATTTAAGCCCCTCTTGACAAAAATTATTGTGGAAAGGTATTTTGTATCAGAAATTATTTCATGCATTGTTGTAAAGTTCAACATTAAAATATTTCAGATACAAAATTGATGGGTCCTCATTATAATAAATTTCATTGAAATCACCTAAATATCATCATGGCAATAAAAAAATCAAAGCTAACGAGGAGGAGTTAAAGCTGAAAATATAAGTTGAATTATATGAGTTGACCTAATTAGCCAATTGCAAGGGGGTCAAGGGAAAAAGTGACTTAAATAAAAATAAATTTTTCCTGACCTGAATAATATAACTCATAAATCATGCGAGTTAATTCTAATACGGTAGTGTTGATTCATTTAACTTATATTATTTTAAAAAAAAAAAAAAAGAAATTTTATCACCAAAAAGGAGTGTAAACTATATAAAATATAACTTACTTAACTGGTTTAATTGATATATTTTATATAAATATTATGAATTAATATTTGTATGTATTTGAAATAAATTATGAAAAATATCATATTAAAACTCATTTTTTAAGTGTATTTTTTTAAAAATAGATTGACAAGTTAATTCATTTAATTTGTTAATTCTTAAAAATTGAGTTATATAAAAATGAATTGGATTTAACTGAAATTATATTTCTCCCAAACAATACGGCTCGTATTCTTAGCTCTGCCGCTAGCGGGGGGGTCCTTCGCTGTACACACATAGCATGCCACGCACGCAGCTGGGGCGGCAATATATAGTAAACTAAGCAAGTTAAGAGCGGGGTGTCGAAATTTCGAGAAGTTGAGCACAGGGCGCAAGCCGCAAGGAACCCCAAATAATGACAAATCAGCTCATTATTGAACATTCCTGCGGTCAAGTGTTTCTTTCTTATTTTTTTTCTTTTAATAAATAAATAAATAACGTCGTGAATGCTGCACGGAAGAAAATCAAATCCATTACTCATTGCTTCTGATTGGAACTCGGCATTGTCATTGATTTTGGGCTCAAGACACTTAAAAAATATATAAAAAAACTGATTTTTTAATCATTTAATTTTTAAATTATTTATAACTCAATCTTTTAATTATGATTTTTTGTGACTCAATTTTTTAATTATAACTCAATCCTTAAATTTTTAAATCATTTACAAATTAATCTTTGAACTTTTGTTATTTTTTTTATGTTAGCCTATATCTCGTATCAATGAGCAAAAAAGGGATATTTTAAAATAATATATGAGCATTTTTTATCCTTATTATTTGATAAGAAATTTTTTAAAAAATAAAAAAATGAGAATCAAATTATAGGTGAATCAAAAGTTGAGGAATTGAATTACAGCGAGTTATAGTTAAAAAATTAAATTGCAGTAAATTATAATTGAGAAATTGAGTTATAAATGAATTAAAAAATAAAAAATTAAATAATTAATTTTTTTAAAATATATTGGGACAAACTCTCTTTATACCGGCTTATATAAATTTGACTTTGAGTGTTTTTCCCCCCTCGTTACCACTTGAAGGCTAAAGCGTCGCGTTGTTGCTTCTTTGGCTTTGGCTAAAAACCAAAAAAGATCGATGCACTTCTAAATTCCCTAGCAATTTATACAAGTTCCTCATTGTTTGATGTTTTTTTTTTTAACACTCTTTTTATAATTCCTTGCATGGTCTGACGTGAAAAAAATATTATAATATGAAATTTTCCCCCTAAAATGCTCACTGTTTACAGAACAAAGCCACCGCCATTATATTTGCATATTTCCTCCCGAGGTTAAAGGCAATATTTTTATTTTAAAAACACGACAATAAATAATTTTGTTATCTTACTCGCCAGCGAGACATAGATAGTTCATTTAATTATCAAGAAATACTTTTAATAGTGCCCTCATGCTTCCAACAACCAAGCCAGTCTAAACATTTCGGTCAAATATTTTTCCAATGAATTAATTAATGTTCGTTAATTAATCAACCTATATTAATTAATTTGATTCATTCGAAATTACACGTTAAAAGCCTATTTGTCTTAGCTTATTTCATGAAAAATCAGTTGTTTTTTTTTAATATATTTTGTGAGTTTTTATAATATTTGTTTAAACTTTTGTACATAATTAAAATATGAAAAAAAATAAATTTATGATTATTCTAGAAAAACACTTTAAATAACTTTTAAAAATAATCTAATGCCAAGGAGTGTGTTTTAAAGCGGCGGGTATACAAAAATATATATTGTTATTTTTTGAATATAAGGCCATGGTAAAGCCATGCAAAAGGACTATGATTTAGTTATATCTAAAGCCATGAGGTTATTATAGTTTATTGAAAAAAAAATCAAAATTATAATGTTGAAAATGTCATGCATTGACTAATGAGCTAATAAGTCAGCACATTTATTTACTCTTTATAGACGTGATCAAAGGTAACAATTCAATCTCTCATTGTGAGATCTTTTATCTTCTTGATGATGCCTGATAATAGGTGGCTTCCATGGTATCTTCTGTTGATAAGCGATAATGCATCCATAGAATCAGTGCGGACATTGATTTTATTTTGCTTTATATTTCAGTAGAGAAATATTATAAAATTTTAAAATAATATAATAATAAATTATTTTTGTAAAATAAAAAACAAGTATCATAAAATTTAAAAATAACTAACTAATAATCATAACTAAATATAAAATAATACTTATTTTTTATAAAATCTATACAAAATAAATTTATTTTTATAAAATATTTAATTTACTTAAAAAATATTTATTTTTTAATTTTAAACAAATTAGCCTAAAGTGTTTTTGTAGACCGTGGATGTAGACGAGCCAATTCAATAACATACCATGTCCTGAACACAGCGTGAAACAAGAAGAATGCATAACATTAACAATTATTTTCTCCCTTTTTAAATTAAATCTCACCCTCAACACCTATTTTCAAATAAATTTTATCTTTTTATATTTATCCTTATTAAATACCATACAATAAATATAAAGTTATTATTAATATGAGTGCTTTTGAAAAAAAAGCAATGATTATATCTCGAAAAATTAAAAATGTATTATATTTTTAAAAATTTAATTTTTTAAAAAATATCTTATATCTTTAAGTAAAAGGAGTACATGACATTAAAAAAAATTCAATACCTTGTAATTTATTATTATGCTTACAAGAAGAATACATAACATTAATAATTATATTCAAGTTTTTTAAAAAATGAGTATACATCAAACTACTTCTTCATTTGCAACGGTAAGAGTTGCTTATAATTGATGAGCTAAATATTATACATGATATTTTAATGAAATAAAAAATATACATAACCTCCACATCTACATTATATTTAAAAAAAACCAAAAAAAAAAAGAAAGTAAAAGGCCAGGGAGATCCTGACCTCCGGTCCCGCCTCCACCATTGGTCATGGCATGACCTGGATATCCAGTAAACAGTACTATTCCCCGTATAAAGTCATATTTTTATTTGGCAAGGCACGAGTACCTACAGGGTACCATATTTCAGAATATGTTTAAGAGGCAAGAGCAAGGAAGTGGAAAGACATGAGAGTCGAGAAACATCAACGGAATCTTTCCTTGTTACTCCTTGATTTTATTTATAAATTATTTTTATTAATTTTATTAATATTAATATAATAAAAATATAAATAATAAAATTTAATAAAATTACAAACAAAACCCTTAAAAAATAAATAAACTATATAATATTATTTTTTATTTTTTGTTTTTTAAAAAGAGTTTAAATATTTCATTTAAAATAAAATATAATTATTAATTTAATGATTTATAAACTGAACTATTTTTTATCTTAAAAAAGATGATTAATAAAATGGATGGGAGGAAGTAATAAACAAAGGCTGTTTGCTTGTCATGCGCTATATAGCAAGAAAGAGTGCACTTGGATTGGAAGGGGAATATTAAGGGAAAGGAAGCGCCAGGAATGCGCGTGGGAATTGACAAGGGCTCAGTAGTGCATACCAATGAATGAGTGATGACCACTGTCGAGCCCACCATCACGTCCACAGATATTGGCTGGGTGCAATTCATCTTCGCTTCAATTTGCAAATATAATAATACAAAAAAATACTTCACTGTCGATTGAAAAAGTTCCCCTCTGAAAGACTGTGACAAGAGAGTTGGGGGGGACACTGCGTTACATTTATAATACCACCTTGTTATTTTCTCTCTTTGTCCTTATTCATTAGCATCCTTGCATCATCTTCTCCAAAGTAATTGTATTTCTTTTCTTTTTCGGCAAGTCCATTCCTAAAACTGTACCCATGTATCGCCACTTCTATATAATCTGCACTCCTATTCGCTCCCGACTTGTTTATATTCTTTTTTATTATAAATTCCCCCCGGCCACCTAAATCATCCAAGCTCATAATCAACCAAACCAGGAAACAGACAAACGCTCGCTGCTTCACAATCTCTCTCTAACCCTCGCCTTTTCTTTTCAGCATTTTGCTTCTCTATATTTTCAGCGCTCGTGTGCTAGCTTGCTTCTATTCTCTCTTCACCTGCCCTTCTCGTGAGCTTATCACTCCCTCGCCGCCTCCTCAGTCCTCAATCTCATTCGAGTTTTCTGTTTCCCGAGACTGTCTCTTCCTCGGAGAAATTATGCGGACACTGGTCTTTTGTTCCCGTATTTCCAGAACTTATCTCAAGAGCTTCAACAACTCGATGAGTACTGTAAAACCCATAAGCCCAATGCTTCAATGGTACCTTCCCTTTTCGTCCTCTGTTTTATTTAGTACTAAACTGCGTTTTCTCTGACCCCTTCAAGTCTGTGTTTAAGTCTGCTTAACTGCCCGGCCCTTTGTTTATATCATGTGTAATCTATAGTTTCTGACCGATTGACGATGTCGATGAGGTGAATGATGAATGGATTGAATTCTGGAATTGACTTCGCATGCAGTCTCTCTTTATTCATTCATTTTTTTCACCCCTCCTTCTTAATGTTTTCTCATAGCGCAAGTGGAAACAGCTGGAGTTGGCTTTATGTGCTGGATCTGGAAAAGCATGAGAAAAGGAAAGATGTATGGAGTGTAAGCGGAAAAGAATTTTCGTTGTGATAGTGCCGTGTTTAATGGTCTTTCTTCCATTTCTTTGTTAATTTCTGGTGTGAAATCTAAGTGGGTTCGTCTTTTCTTCGTGCCGCACTAAGGGAGATTAAAGAGGAAAAAACAGGAAAAAAACAACTTATATTCACTTTTTCTTTATACTAAGGAAAACAGGTTAGAGGGAAGGGGGTGGTTAATGCTCAACTTAATCATTTCTTCTGGGTTTTGTCGGGCACCACATATGGTAGTAGAAATGAGGAAACAATACATTATCACCTATATTTATGCCCATAATTAAAGTTGGTTGTTTCTACGTGGCTTTGTGTTTTGGTCATTAAAGTGAAAGCACGTTTTTGAGGCGAGGGCTATGGTGCCTTTGTAGTCGGGGAAGACACTACTCGGTTTAAGAAATTTTGATAAAGACATTCACTTTCTCTCGATGAGTGACCATTCACGTAAACAAAATTGCATCTTTTGACTATTCATAAAGAAATTTGAATCCATGCTCTTCCCCTGAGTTGAACTTAAAGCCATTTCGAATAGAATGCATTTCATACTATTTTTTCTATTGAAGCATGACCTCTAAATTTGCAATCATCCACTAATCCATTTTGTGGATTAGCCCGTTATTTCCGTGCGAAGATTCAGCTAAATATGTATCGGCCCTTTTCATCTTTGCACAAAGTTTCTAATATGCAGTGCCGTCTTTCTTCCTGGCTATTGTATACAGCATTGATTTCGTACTGAATAAAGAGCTCGGAAGTCCATGACTTCTTCGGCTTTTCTCATTTTACTATTCTTTCTGTTTGCTTTTTTTTTTTTGGACTTACCTTCACTCTATTATTATTACGTCTTTGATGTGTTCTTACTTCTTATAATTAAATTAATGTCATCTGTTTAGATTTTCTACACCTCAGTGCATAGAATTCACTTCTATTTTTGTTTCATGCAGAGTGACCTAGCTCAGTCTTCTGCCATGTCGGAGTATTTGGATTTGGCAGCAGAAGGAGACCTATTCAAAGCTCCTGAACCTGTAATTGAAGAAACAGTCATAGACTTGGATCCTATGAGCGCAGCCATTTCGATGATATCTTGTGGGGAAGATGTTGTCACCTCGCAGGGACTAAAACCCACGGACTCTCTTCAACATGATCAGCTCCTGAGCGAGGTTTTCTATGAATGCAAAAAAGATATGTTAGAAAAGGAAGCAATTGAGTCACCACTGTCAGAGATTCTGGAAATCAAGGTTCCTGCTCTGAATACAGAAGAGAACCAAGTTCAAGAAAGCCAGCCATTTCCTGGCTTGCCATTGCCAAAAAGTGTGAGTTCAGAATGTTTGAGCTCAATGGACTGGATGCAAGGAACTGCAATGAAGCCTGCTTTTATTGATTTCCCAGGAATTAATTTCAGTGTAGATTATGGCATGCGGAGGGCATTTAGTGAAGGAGATATAAAGGTCAGACTTAGCTGATTCATACATTTTGTATCTTAAACTTTTAGAACAATAGTTAAGGGGAATTTTTCTGTTCAGAACATGCAGAAAAGACAACTAACCTGGAGCTCGGACTGCTACACTGTCTTGAGATTGAAGTTTGATGTTTTTAGAGCTCTGCTTTTTTCCCTAACATGGTTAGCGTGATAAAATAAGTTTTCAGTTTTGAGAGGTGATAATTAACGATTTAATGAATAATAATAACTATATTGCGAAGGAATAATAGCCATATCTTTCTCTTGCTCAATGGAGAAAGATTTTGGGACCTACTGAACTCACTAAGGAGGAAAATCTTCACCTGATCCGCTGAAAAATTGTTCTGGTTTAAGTCTTTTCCCCCCTTAGTGACACACCATATACTCCAGTAATTTCTTTCCTTGTGTCAATATCTGTTAGTATCCAATGCCTTGCAACCTCAAAACCTGTCTTAAGTGATCAGAAATTACAGGGTGCTTCCCAAACACAGGAAATTCTTTCAAGAGAGTGGATGGTTCCTGTTTTCACATAGGTGGACAAACACATCGAAGTCTTGTGATGTAGTCATAGCATGAGCCATTAATTGACTTGATCATTAAGTCTTATTGTGGACTCTCAAATCTATAGATTTTCTGCCATTTCCTTGAAGTGGGACCGGATTGTTGATGCTCTATGTCTATGTTTGACAGGCTCTTGGTAGTGGTAATGTGCACGTTGTCCAATCTACCTTAGAGAGGCCCTTTCCTATCAGTAACTGTACCAGTGAGGAACGCCGAGAAAAGCTCTCTAGATACAGGAGTAAGAAGACAAGGAGAAATTTTGGCCGGAAAATCAAGGTGAGATGATATTTAAGTGCATGTGCATAGAGTACTTCAGTTAAGCAGTCGAAATGTTTAATTTCTGATATAGGTAGATCCTGAAGTGAAATAACAATTGGGGTTTGATTTCAGTATGCTTGCAGGAAGGCTCTTGCTGACAGCCAACCAAGAATCCGTGGAAGATTTGCCAAGACTGAAGAATTTGACTCAAGGAGGCAATGTTAGCCTGAAACTGGTTCATTTGAAAGAAAGTAGGAAAAAAGTAATCATTCCCGATCAAGCTATGCATGGAAGAACTCGAGAGTACCATTGGCCTAGAAGCAGTAGACTTGGTGGGATTCTAAAACTTTGATCAATTAGTGCTAAAAATGAAATAAGCAGGACTTGCCTTGAACTCCAATGGGGCAGTGTAGTTGAAGTCTCGTGTATTGTAATAACCTTTTCTGTAGACGGAAATGACCTTCCAGGCATGTACATAGGTTTGTTGAATAAAAGAAAGAATAAAAATATTGTATGGTGTTCATATATTTGTGGAATAGCTGTGTTAATTCTCTTTTTAAGTGTTTCTATGAAAGAAATGTTCCTTTTGTCTTGTCTATTGGGTGCTTATACCCCGCCCCTTCATAATTGAGAACTCAGCTATTGTGGATTTTCATGGCTTCATGGCTGCTGTCTTTGAGATACACCATTTGACAGGTAATGGCTTTTATGGAATACTTGGGACATGTTTGGTTTCCATTTTCAAAAACAATTTTTTTGTCTTTAAAAACAAAAAATAAAAAATAAAAAACTTGTTTGGAGGAATGTTTTTGAATCTAATTATTTTCAAAATTGTTCTTATTTTTTGTTTTCAAAAGGAAAAAATGTAAACATCTTAAATTATTTTATTTTATTTTATTTTTCTTACTTTCAAAATGCATAACATTTGATTATTAAAAATTATAATTACTTTGACCAATAATTTTCACAAGTTACCACCATTAATTGCTGGTAACTATTACTATTGATCAATTTTTTACTTTTAAAATTGTTCTTGAATTAATAAAATCAAATTTTCTTTTATTTTGTTTTGAAAATAAATTTAAAAACTGTATTATAAAATAGTTTTTAAAAAATAAAAAAAATGAGAATATAAATCAAAGAAGCCCTTAAAGTCCTGCTTGATTAATGATGAAACCTGGGCCTACTTCCATTGGACTAGGGCCTCTGTTATCATCTGCGAACTTTTTTCAAGGTTTTCATTATGCAAGTCGGGCTCAGTGTCAGCCCAATTCAATTATTAATGTCTTCTTTTTTTTTTTATTTTTTTTTAAATATACGAATGTATTTTACATAAACACTCTCTCATTACATAAAATAATATTTATGTCCATTCTTTTAATTGAAGCTCTTCATTTAAAAGGATTTTCATGCATATATATATATATATATATATATACATGTATATTGTTCTTTTAGGTGAAACTTTTCACTGTAGTCTAATCTAATTTTAATTTTTTATAGTTTATATGATATCTTCCATGATTTATATGCATGCGAACATGTAAAGATATTTTAGTTTGGAAGTCGAAAATGGAGTTGTTTCTTTTGGGCAGTGGAACAACTAGTAATTTTTTTGTTTCAGCAAATATATATATACACACACACTTGAAAAATTAACAATATGTAACTTCATGCGAAATCAAGATTATAGTATATAGCAAATTTTTAATATATTTTCATTTACTATCATTTCATCGTTTTTTAAGTAAACTAGTAAAGCTTGGAAGCATGTTATGTTCTTCTGCAATTTCAATTAGACTTGCTTAAATTGTTTTGATATAGTTTTTTTTTTTTGGTCATTCATTCAACTACATCTTACAATCATTAAAACAAACCTTTCGAATCAAAAGGTCAAAGGTCAATTGTATAACGATTAATTTATAAACAAGTTAAGTGCAATGATCAACCGACGCACCACACACTAGGAAATTGATCATTACCCACACCAGATTATCTGCTCGCCACATCGAGAGGCTGAAAAAAAAAGTCCCAATGCATGATTAAAAAAAAAAGCCATTTATTTTGATTCCTACAGAGTGTTTGACCAAAAACGAAGAGACTCCTGCATAATGAAATTCATAGAAAGCCCTTTGGCCTCAGAAGAAACAAGGAAACATGTAGAAAACACAAATGCATGGGTATAGATAGGGATGTTTATGAGATGAGATTGAGATTGGGACACTCTTTTCTTATTTTCACTCTAGAAAAAAACTAGGACTAAATTTCTATCCCATCACATCCCAAAAGTTGTCCCATCCTATTAGAAATCGAGATGAAATTGGAACATTCTATCGTCTCGATAAATGGAGCAACGTTGGAGAAAGATCTAGGTGATAATATTTATAAAATTTTAAATATTATAATTTATTAAGTTTAAAATTAAAATAATACAAGTGTATAAATTATAACAATTTAAAGTGAATTATTGAATTATGTTAATCACAATTACATATTATTATAGCAATTACAAGTAATCTCTAAGTTATAGGAATAGCAACAAGAGGCAAGCCAAGCACAACATCAAATTATTGTTCTTCTACTTCAGTTGATATGTTAAGCTAGTTACTTTTTTAAAAATAAAATAAGAAATATGATACAAATAAAAATTATTAAATAGTTAGATATAAGAATACGTTATATCAATATAATTAATATATTATAGCAAAAGGTATCACCCTATTAATTCTATGTGATTAAAACTATCAATATAAAAAAACTTTAGTTTCGTATAAAAATTGTAAGTATTGAAATTATATGTAATTAATATTAATATAAATTATATCAATACAATTAATATATTTAATCTATATTTTTAAAATAAAACTAACGCACATATATATAATATTCGGGATGAGATAAAAGGAGATGAGACATCTTAATAATAATTTTATGTCTCATCTTATTTCAAATTTCTTTGTTATCCCATCCTCATTATTTTTAAATTAAAATATGACTTGCCTCGATATAATTGAGACAATATCAAGTTAATTGAAGTGAATAAAAGCCGAGCACCTCCAACCTGAGGGGGATAGGGGATCGGCTGCCTGGGGGATTATCTTGTGAATCCCTTGCATGACGCGTCGAGTTTTGATTGGCTGTATTAACTTGACCTAATTTACAGTAGGATCATTGAAACGCAGCCGCGCACCCGAATGGATACCGCCGCCATAAACATAAAGTATGGAGGACAATCTGGTCTCTCGACACCCAAACATCCCTAAGTCATCCCCGAGTCTCACTAACCAAGCCCAAAAATCCCTCGGTCACCCTCTGTGATTCTCTAGCGCTCTTCAACGTCCCACGCTCTTCCAATTTTATCCCCAAAGGGCCTTGTTACCAAAATTCTCAACTGGACTCTCCTGTAATTTTGGTCTTATTCGATCCCTATCTCATATCGCAAACATCTTATCCCCCCACCGATCCACTTTCCGGCTACCTGTTTCCCGGTCCCCGCCTGCTCCAAAGCTTCCTCATCTTCGGTATAGAGTCTCACGTTACTGTTCCTTACCCTCCCCCCCGGCGGGAAGATTTCTCAACCTGGAATGCTCACTGTTAGGGTTGCTTCCGCTCTTGGATTCAAGCACTGGATGTCTTCGGAAATTAGGGTTTCAGATTTTTGCGCTTTGTTGCTTGGGTTTTGCTAAGTATTAGTGTTAGGGGTTGCTGTTCTCATTTCAGCGTTCCGTGCCCTGTGAATTCGCGGAATAGGGTTTTGAGCTTGCTTTCGTGATGCCGCGGAGTTCAAAACATAAATCGAGCAAACACAGTTCGAGGGATACGAGGGACTACTCGGATTCGGACAAAGATTCTGGCTTGAAGGATCGGAAAGGTAAGGATGAGAGCAGTGCGAAGGTTTCGAAGGATTCAAGTTCGTTGGAGAAGCGGAAGCCGGATTCGAAGGATACTCATGGGTTTGGAAATGGGGAGAATTCAGACGAGCATGCTTCATCGAAGAGGCGCAAGGAGCGTAGCAATGACGGAGTTGGAGATAGGTGGAATGGTGGTGAGGATGAACGAGGTGAAGGCTCCAGGAAGTCAAAGACATCGGGAGATTCGAAAAGTAGGAGAAGGGATGAGGGTGTAGGAGTGTATGGGGAGGGCGAAGAGGTCAAGAAAAGCAGCAGCAAGGGCGAAGGGAAGCACAGGGAACCGGGGCGAAAGGAGAGTAGAGAAAGTGGAACGGAAAGAGAAAGGAAGTTTAAAGAAGTTAGAAGCGAGAGATCAGTTGACAACGTAGAACAGCGTATATCCAAGCATGTATATGAAAATACTGGTAAGGTAACTGATTGTTCTGTGGCATGCCTATTCTATGCGCGGAACTATGCGCCTTTCATACATTAGTAAAAGATGTCTTTAACTGAAGAAAAATTTACATTTATGCTGAGGAGGATTCCCTCGTCCAGCGACGGAAAGTGAGCTTTTTGTTCTATTGCAAACCATTGGAGTATTAGCGCTGCATATTCAGGGGCTTTCTTCTTGATAAACAAGAATAGGAGTCAGCCACTGGGGAACATGTTTGAAACCCACCAGTTTTGCCTACATTTTGCCTGCCAGCCTATAGAGAAGTTTATTAGAGTTTTCATGAAATTTTTTGTGACCAGTTTTCTCTTGCATCTTCCCATAATCTTACTTTGTATGTGAAATATTCATTTCTTTTTGCCCCCAAAGCGAGCCATACATTGATTTCCATTATTATTTACTCTGGTGGATTAAATTCAGAAATGCTCTCTATGGTGCCGAAGCAAGTTGATGCTAATAAATACCAGTTTTATTTTAAGCATGTGTCCTCAAATCAAATCGCTTTTCCCCCGCCTCTTGTCCTACCTTTTTCTTCCTGATGGGACTCTACCAGTCTTCCTCTAATTGTACTATACATGCCAGTTTTGATGAACATGTCTGTCTTTTATGGCCGACATTTTGGAAATGCACGAATGATTGTTTCAATTTTTTCATACCATCAATCTGTTAGTTTCATTCAAAACTTCTCGCCCTTTCTTGGGAAGGCCCTTTTATTGTAATGATTCATATTTCCTGCGCGCTCGCGCGCATATGCATTGGCCTTTTTTTTTTTTTAATCTAATACTATACCCTGCATGCCTAAGAAGTATCAGTCATGAAGGCAAATTCTTATATTGAGCTTTGCTTGGTAATTGAGTGGTCATGATAAATGCATTTCTTCATCATGGATCGATCAATGCTTTAGTTTGTGTGCGTGTCTAATGTTTCCCCCTATTTATGGGGGATGTCTTCTGGAAGGGAGAGTCACAATGTTGGTCTCTTTCTGTAGCTTACTAACCTTTTCTTTTTTAGGGCGACGTTTGTTTCTTTAATTGTTGGTTTTGGCACTTGAGTTGTCTCTCTTTATGCCCATTGACACGAGTAATTCTTTTGTGTTTCGACTCTTGAGAAGTAGATATGAAATTTGTTGCTTTCAATAATGTGACCAGGAAGACTTATCCATGTGTTTACTGTTTACTGTTTACTTGTTAATTTGTATTTCAAGATGCCTTCTTAGGAAGGAAAGACTGAGCCGGAAGTCCAACAATTTAGTTGAGGTTACTAATGAGAAAGGATATGTCGTTTGTTCTTTTTTTAGATGGAACAAGATTTACTGATGTAAGATAGTGCAATACAACAAGTCACAAACAGGGAGCATGGAATCCTTCCTAAATAAAGGCAAAGACGCAATCTGGTCTCTAATTTGAAGCAGCATTCTAAATTCTAATACCCTTTTAAGATCCCCAAGTCATACTGCCTTAGATAGCCTCTTGTAGTCCCTCACTAAGAGGACATATATATATAACCCTTTCTCAAAGAGGATGTGACGGAAAAAGTTGCTGATTGAACACTCATGCCTTCTGTTCTAACCAAAGACATAACAAAAAGGCTGCACAATGCCAGAGAACTTTATGATCCCTTTTCCCATCCTAATCCCTAGTAGTTGAATAAAGTTATCAATTTTTTAAATGTAAAACAGATAGATGATGGTTGAATAATGCTCTGGTTCATTAAATTAGTTTGATTGTCGGGTGTTGAAGGGAATTGAAAAAGGCAGTATGTACAGCTGATCATAATTTAATATTGATCTGAAAATCAATAAGAGAAAAACAAACAGTTCTTACATGTACAGAAGTTTAATAATATGGTAGCCAATGGGACGGTGATATTGGTACACTTTCTAATCTATTCTTTTACTAGTTTATTTATTGCATTAAGCTCAGTAGTTTTATTTATTTCCTGCTTTGTTTGGATTTAATATGATAACCGTTTATTAATGATTTAGATTTAGTTGTACATGGGATGGTTTGGCAATTAAAGTGTTTAAAGGTCAATTTCCATTGCTAATGGTCCATTAGTTCATTTGATATAAAAAACGTAATTTTTTTTTAAAAAACTTTCTTGTATCGATCATTGGCCACATGTTTCTTAAATGTCTAAATTCTGTTTATTTGATCATGGTTTATAAACGTTGCAGCTCCCTACATATTTTTATTTGATATTGTTTCAATACAGTATGTTTGAGTGTTAATATCAGTGTCTTAAACGTTAGATTTTACAATCTATATATCAAAATCAATATCAATAAATAACATAAAATCTATAGAAAACTGCATGATTCATAAGCCTTGAACAGTGTAGCTCATTCTTCAGACTCCCATATTTGCCTCGAGGTCCACATCTAGTTTTCTTAAATACCTATTCATTGTCAAATTGAATCATTTGGTATATGCTGATATTATTACAGATTTGTTTTTGGTACGTGTTTTTTATTTGAATTGAGCTCTCCATTATTGTACTTTGGATAGCAGTTCTTGCTTCTTTATGTTGAAGTCTAGTTTGTGTTTGTATGTATAATTCTATAGGTATCTCTATGGTGTCTTTTATGTGGTTCTTTGGTCCATTTGGCTGGGGAAGAATGCTTGTATCTCAAAGGATACTATGTTGTCTTTGTTCATTAGAAGCATTATTGATGGGCATTTGATTCGTTCAATTCTCTGCCCTGATTTCTGTGAAGGAATTCCTCTGTTAGAAATTCAGTGGGATTGCATAGCTGTTTAATTTGTGACCTTGTTCTGTTTTAGTGTATGATTGGCTTTTGTTTCCTTTGTTTAAAAGCACTTTTTTCTTCCTTTTTGATGTTTATGTTGCATACATCCATTGGTTAATATCTTGTGCAGCTTTTGGACTTTTGGAAGTCTCTTTTTTAGAAGTGAGTGTTGTTTTTTAGGGGAAAAGAGAAAGTCAGAATATATTTTGTCTTTTGTCTTATATCAGCTAATATGAGCATCATGTTTCGAAAGATATTGCTATATTATGCAACATGTGGTCATGATTAATGCCTGATTGAAGTTTCTGTGACCAGTGAAGCTAAAGCATGGGAACTGAAAATGATGCTAGACAGAAGGTTTTATTTCCCACCGGGTGGGGGGCCATGCATGTGAATCATTTGACTACCTAGATAGTTGTGTGCCGGGTGTTTGTTAATGTGATTTGTGGATTGTGTATTAGTTCACATCTTTGGACAAAGTTATTTTGATATTATGATGCTTGGTTCTGTATTTTTATGTCATTTCTTGTAAACCTAGAGATATTGGATGAACTCTGCTCGTCCTTGGAAGACAGTAGCTTACTCTGATTTATGTCTTGTTGCAGATTTGAGGGCCCTGGATGAGTTACAAAGCCCTGAACTGGATAGCCAACCAGAGAAGCGATTGAGGAAGAAGAGGGATGATACTAGTGATGGAATTAAGCATCAAGATGATGTTGGGGATAGCTATAGCAGACGTTTGTCTTCTAGGGATGAGATTGCCAAGGATGGAAGACTAAAGGATGATAAGCGAAAGGATGAGAAATATAGAGAGAAGGGCAAGGAAGAGACAGATAAAGAGAACAAACATAGATATGACAAGCAGCGTGATGAGCGCCCTGTGAAAGATCATGCTAGCAATAGGTCTGATGATAAGCATGGAAAGGAGGAAAAGGACTATGTTGAGTCACGACAAAAAAGAATTAAAACTTTGGAGAGTGAACGTGACCGGGACCATAACCGCGATCGTGATGGGGGACGTGAGCGCGATTTGGAATCTGGTCGTGATCGTGAGCGGCGCCATGAACGTGAAAGAGACCGTGAACGTGATTATGATCTTGATAGGGATCGTGACTATGATAGAGATCGAGATTGGGATTGGGACAATGATCGTGATCATGATGAGGACCTAGACAAAGAGCGTCATCGTGAGCGCAACCACCATGATCGTGATGGGTCGCATTTAGATGAACGAAGTGTTAGGAGTAAGGAGAGTGGAGCAAAGAAAAGAAATTTGGTTGAACGTGATGATTATTGTGATGCTAAACCTAGAGGTGTTAAACCTCACTATTCTGATGCAGAGAGAAGAAGTTTGAGTGGCAGTAAAGCTGATTCTGAGGCTGAGAGGGGAAGATCCCAACCACGTCATGCTCATGCAGACTCAAGTGGAACCAACAACAAAAGGAGGCCTTCTCCAGCAGCAAATACTTATACCGGCAATGATGATTACAGGTAAATCTTTATTTTTTGGTATTTTGATTGGAATGTTGCTAATCAACATTCAAAATTGCATTTTGGTGGCATTCCATCCTTGATAGCATGCTAAGTGGGTGATATCATGAAGATTGATTTTGGTTACTACTCAATTAAATTAAGCCCATCATGACATTTTTGCTTTAAAGGTGTTCTTGTGCCCTTTAATTTAAACAGTTGTAGTGTCGTAGTGTTAGTTAACAGTTAAAAGCATCTTATCATGTTGTGTTTATTCATTGAGATAAATATGGTCTTTGCTATATTTTGTTTCTTAATTTCTGAGGACGTCAGGGTCTCAGGAATCTTGTATACAAGAGGATTATACTGTGAACAATTTTTAATTGATTAGCATTTACCCCATCTTTCAGGAATGCAAATTCTGAAGATTCAAAGCAGAGAGACTCAATGACAGAACATCGAACAAAAGGCTTGAGGGAAGGTTATCCAGGGACATCAGAAAGAGGTGCTAGTAAATACAAGTCAGAAAAATCTATTAAAATGGATGATTGTGCTGTAGGAGATTTTGCAACTGAAAGGTCCTCCAGTTCTAAGGCTTCTCCCAAGGGCCTTGTAGAAAGATCTCCATCTTCCACAAGCATCGAGCGCAGGTATGTGAATAAAAGTGGAGTTAGGCGGAGTGTTGAAATTGAAGAAGGTGGACGGAGAAGTAGTATTGATGCACGAGATTTCTCAGCTTCGGAAGATAGACTGGGCCGTGAGTTAACTCTAGAGAGGCCACTGTTGGATGATTCCTCTCAAGCAGATTCTTATTATGGCAGGACTAGTCAGGGAAATGCATCGTTGGTTCCTCCTCCGCCAACTTTCAGGGTCGGACTAGACCGACCTTTTATGAGTTCTTTAGATGATGATGTTAGAGACAGCTCCAATGCTCGATACAGAAGAATTAGTGATCCTGGTTTTGGAAGAGGACCTGGCAATTCTTGGAGGGGTGTTCCAAATTGGACTTCTGCTGTGCCAAATGGATTTGTTCCTTTTCAACATGGACCAACACATGGAGGTTTTCAGGCAATTATGCCACAATTTCCATCTCAACCTCTTTTTGGTGTTAGACCTCCAATGGATGTTAACCATGCTGGTATTCCTTACCATCTTCCTGATGCAGACAGGTTTCCAGGTCACTTGCGCCCGCTTGGGTGGCAAAATATGATGGATGGTACAGGCCCTTCTCATTTACATGGATGGGATGGCAATAATAGTGTTTTCAGAGATGATCCTCACATGTATGGTGGTTCAGATTGGGACCGGAACAGGCATCCAACAAATAGTCGGTCTTGGGAATCTGGTTCTGAGACCTGGAAAGAGCAGAATGGTGATTTAAAGAAAGACCTGCCTTCTCCGGCTCATAAAGATGGTTTGGTTCCAGCAGAGGTGGACGGTGGATTGGCTGAGCACGGTACTCAGATTTCTCAGGATGAGCAGAACCAGGATAGTTTTCATGAAAAGGCTCCTGAAAGGAAGTCACCCAGTGTCAGTACTCCATCTAAAGCACCTTTGAAGCCCTTGGCCACGTCTACAATTGAGAAGGTGCCTGATACTGCAACAAGTGACATTGCTTCACTTTTCAGTCATTTCTACCTTTCTAAACTTGACATTTCAGAAGAACTTACGCTTCCAGAGCTGCACAGCCAGTGTATGGGTCTGCTGAGGATTGATAAGAGTGCCAGCATTGATGCAGAGTCTCGTACAGATCTGTTTCTGAAGGTAGAAATGATAAAAGCTTTGGCTTCATTTTTTCCTCCAAAATTTTAGAATGATTTGAGGTTGTTCTTTTCTTCTTTTTCTTTTTTTTGGGGGAGGTTTGGCTGTGAGAAAGTAAACAAATGTCTGAGATGTTTAAGTTTATCCCTTTCCCTTTATTACACAGAATGGTTCAAGAGCGCAACAGAAATATGCTGCCATGTCAAGGCATTCACCACTTCCAGCAATTGACGCGTCCATTTTCCAGGTAAATCTGCTAGATGGGTTAGTGTTCTGTTTGCAGTGTTATTATTTACATTTACAGTTGCTATACACACGTGTCTTGCGCTTTTAATAATATGATTGCTCTAATGTTACCTGAGTGCTGTAAAAGAAATTATTGGTTATCACTGTCTAACCTTTTAACTAGATATTTTCCCTGTGTGATACACGAGAGTTAAAATTTTGTTGAAATTGGTACCTATTTTTCTGACATTCAAACTTTATTACTGGACGTGTTCTTGATACTTTTGACTGATTCAGATAGCCGATAGCTATTCCACAGATTTTAAATTCTGATTCTTGATGAGTGGACGTGTTCTTTAACTTGCAGAGAGCCATGGACCTTTACAAGAAGCAGAGGGTGGAACTGCCAAATAAGGGGGAAGTAGATATTATCCCAGCATTCAATCAAGTGCGAGGTGATGAATCAGCCTCTGTTCACAGTTCGGAGAACATGCAGGTTTCTGTCTTCACTTCTGATGCCAGGGTTAAGCCGAAGTTTACATCAGACTTGAAAATAGGGGAAACTTTGCATCCTTCTGCTGGGGAGCATTTGGAAGAACTAGATCAAGCCTACAGTGACAAGCAGCAGGGTCATGGTTGTGCCATATCTTTGGGATTAGTCTTTTCTGGTCCATCTGATTGTGGGAACGAGGGGGAGCCTTTAGCAGCTTTGGGTGAGGAGGAGAAAGAGACATCTGATCTGGTGGGTTCAGGGGGATCAAAGGAGAATCAGTTCATGGAAGTGGAAAATAAATCTCAGTTGGTCACTGATCTGCACAAAGATGATGTCGACACATTGGGTGATCCCTTAATTTTGAGGATGGATCTTCCAAAGCTTGTGATGCTTTGATGGCTGGCTCAAATGAGTCTGAATCGCTAATTTTAAGCCGGATACATCATTCTCCTGAAAGTACACATTGAGACAATTTCTATATCTTTCATTGCTTTTTCCGTCAGGTTTTTATTTCCTCTCCCTCTCCTGTTGCTTTCATTTTGAGCGAGGAAATAAAAAAGAAATGTCATTCATATTCCCTTAATTGGGGTTGATTGGATACTCCATCTCCATGCATTTGCATTCGTCGCTTTCATTTTCATATGCATATCTGCAGGAGCATGCGGTTGCAGTAAGTTAATGGGTGAAATTGCACTGCCTTCTATCTAATGTGCTGATGGGGCTTGTTGGTCAATTTGATTTCCAATTGAAGGGAAAATAAGTTTTTGTTTTGAAAATGTGCCAACCTTTTGGTTGATGCTTTTTTCATTTGCGTATTTAGATGGTTCTCTGCTCTTGTTTTTTTTTTTTTAAATCCTTTTTGGTCGGATTACTATGCCTGCCTTCTTTTCCCAGCATCTTTTCTGAAAAAAAATTCATAGATTCATTTTACACAATTATGCGTGTGCATTCATTACCTTTGCTTTTTCCTCAGTCTCTCTACAATAGACACGGTAATTTGGATTAAGATTGATGGGCTACTCCAAACAAATCCAAGAAATTTTAAGGTCAGGTTTAAGAGTTTGGATTTTTTTTTTTTTTTACTTTGATCTTATTTGAGCCATTTGAATAAATGTGAAAAAAATCAGGTTTAGTTCAAATATCCAAGTTTTTTTCATTAATAAAGCAGTACAAAAATTGAGAATATTCAATTTTTTTAAAATAAAACTTGAAATTACATGAAATAAATAAAGTAAAATAAAATAATATTTAATAATTTTGATATTTAGGTCAGTTTGAGGGGTTAGGATTGGGTTTGATTAAATGAATTTTTTATAAGTTAGGATATTTTGAATCTGATTCAAATAAGTTGGCTTGAATTAAGTTTAACTCACATAAATTATCAAATCTAACAATGATGAAGAGACATTAGATTTTAACTTTAAGGTATTCCTCACTCGGTAATTGTATTTGTATTGAGGCTTCATTGGTTCATGCATATTACTTCATATTTGTGTCTTGGAATGCTTTTATAACTAGTGAGATAGGGGAGGAGGGTTTCTCTTTTTCCTTCCATCCTTTTTCCTCAACTTTTCAAATCTTCACCATTCATTATCATTTTATTAAATATTTTTTTTAAAATTATAGAATGAATGAAAGGTAAAAATTAGAAAAGTGAAGGGAAAATGAGAGAGAGAAAAGGAGAGACTCCTTTCCTGCAAAATAGGTGCAGGCAAAATTTCTCTCAAGAAACACTGGATTTTATCCTTATTTATAGAGGCGGGAGGATTTTATTGAATTCAATTTAGAAAAATGAATAACTGGGGTTATGAGAATTAAAAATTAATTATATTTTTATTCTCTAGGTATATTAATTATGACACTAAAAGTATAAATAATTATAATTTTTATTCTTTAGTTATTAGAAGATATTTATAGGGTGCGTTTGTATATCCGTTGAATAAAATTGATTATAAAAAATAATTATTTTTTAATATAATTGATTGTGTAATAACATGATTATGTGTGGCTGTTATTTCTTAAAATTAATTTTGATAAAATTAAATATGTTTGAATGTTTTAATTAGAATCAATTTTTAGATGGGTAAATTATCATAAAGGCATTAGTTTTATAGTGTAAAGATTAATAATTTTACGTGTAATATTATTAAATTTTTTTGATATATTAACAAATAAATATATAATAATGATTCATTTAATATTTAAATTGCATTATATTGTAATATTGATAATTTAATTAGCCAATTAAAAGCAGTGGTTGGTTGAGATATTAAAGGGGGGATTATATAAAAAATGAATATCCCAATATATAATAACAAATATTTGTTAGTCTGATACAATTAAAAAAATAGCACTTCTGGGTCTAATTAAACAAGAAGCATTTTTTAGTCGGAGGACTTCACTCGCGTTCATATAAGGGAAGAAAAATATGAAGGTTCTTCACATTAAAAATCACAAGTCACACGTAGGAATTTATCTGGATTGTTCAAATTTCTATCCTCTGGCCAACTGAGCCATTTGATTATTTGTTGCCAAATGGGGTTTGAATCCAAGACTCCTTGGCTACCTAAAAATTCATTGATCATCAGTACACTTTGATTGTATCATGGAAAAAAAAACGTAATAATTTTAACAGTAAGTCAATCACAATTAAAGCTGTCAATTAAGATCGAACCCATCAGGCTAATCCTTTTAAACTCAAAAATAACTAGGGTCAAGCTATTATTTTAAAAGAAAAAATGATAATTTGAGCTTAAAAGGACCGACCCTTTTAAGCCCTTTTATTATTTTTAAAAAAATTGTAATATAAAAAAGATAAAAGATTAAATATATAACTTAAAAAAATGAACATATTAAATACATTCGTCCATCCCTCATTCATTTATTAAGATTTAGCTGATAATGTTAGTTAAATTAATTTTTATTGATATTAATTTTGATGTTACTATTTGATATTAGGCCTAAATGTTTAAGTTTTTTCTTATTGTTGTTGTGTAAATTGATTTAAATTTATTTTTTAAAACTTAATTTTATGTATAATAAATTTTTTTATAATTATAAATATTTTTTTATAATTTTAAATTGAAAAAATAAAAAAAATAGGGCTGAGACCATGCGGACCAGCCCTTTAACCCTGAGGGCTAAGGTCGGATCTTGTAAAAGAAAACCTTAACATATAATCAGGTTTATTAGGGCCAATCCGTTTAGCCTCTGACCCTTTAAGAGTTAGCCTTAATTGACAGTTTTAATCACAATTAAGGTGTTATGATTAATAAAAAATCATTTAAAAAAGCCTTTGGTGCATTTTAATAACATCAATTCTATATAATCAACAAGTCAAGAAGATAGCCATTTTATTTAAATAAATAAATATTGTAATTTGATAAATAAGTAATCATTCAAAATAAAACAAGTTTTCTGTTTCATTTTAACAAGTATCAATTATGTAGTTAACAAACTTAAAAAATAGTCATTTTGTTTTATAATAATGAACGTTGTAATTTGGTGAACAAATCATTATTCAAAAGAAAACAAATCCTTGTTTTATTTTGACAAGTATTGATTTTGTAATAAACAATTACAAAAATAATCATTTTATTTAAGAGACAAGTGTTGTGATTTAATAAATAAGTTATTATTAAAAAAACCTTATTTTTAGTTTAATAAGCATCAATTCTATAATTAATAAATTCAAAAAATAGTCCTTTTGCTTAGATAAATAAATATCATGATATAATGAATAGGTTATCATTCAACAAAAAAAAAAGTTTATCTTTACAAACATTAATTTTGTAATCAACAAATTTAATAAATAATCATTTTCTTTGAGAGAAGAAAATGTTATTATCTAATAAACAAGTTATCATTCAAGATAAAAACAAGTGCCCGTTTTATTTTAACATGCATCAATTCTGTAATTACCACATTCATAAAATAGTCCATCATGTAAAATGAAATGGCGAATCGGGGAAAAAACCGGGAGGCGGGGAAGGGCAAGTACGGTGCGTTTTGTCGTTCTAATTCCACACCATCTCCCTTGTGCCAGTGGGCTCTACACCAGCAGCAATGCAATGCAGTGTTGAGTGTTCCCTCTTGCTTGCATTCGAGTTTGATTTGTTTTCAGACCAAAAATAAGTTCGGTTGGTTTAATGAGTAGGCGTAGATTTCAGGAAAATGCGTGATAGTTGAGAGTGAGTGACAACCTCGGAGGATTTTCACCAGTTCCAAACTTAGGTTATGTTTCTTAATGGAATTCATCAAATCCCCAACAATTTGATCGGATCAAGGTAACCTTTTGAGGTCATTTTCTGTATACTAATCTTCAATTTGATGTCTTTTGACTGCTTAAAATTTGTGGTTTTGTTTATGCATTGTTTTTATTTATAATTTTCGCAGATTTCTTCGAGATTGTTCATTCTCCAACCTCGGCTCTTCTAGGCTTACAGTAAAGGAAGGAAAACTCCTTTCGCAGGTGCGGTTGTGGCAGAGAGTACTAACCTTTGTCTGCAATATTCCAGAATCTTGATGGGCTTCTTTCTTCCCTTCTGCTGGAACTCCTTTTTAAGTGCATTTGCCATTTGTTGTTCTAGTAGCCTCATTTTCATTGGAAATCTATCAGTTGCGATAGGTGTGGAGATTGAAATCAAATAAGCAGCATTTAGTTCTCAAAAAGCTGTTGCAAGACTGTGAATGATCCCTTGCTTACGCCTGTGACTGTTGGGGCCCGGGAAACACTGTTTCTTGCGTTTCCCTATTATGAATTTCCTAGCTGGTGCCTCAATTGTTGTTGACTTATCAAATTCCTTCATAGAAACATCACTGGCATTTTATTTGCAGTGCGATTTGAGCATTTATTTTGGGAATCCGTATGATGTTTTCATTGGGCATTGTCTTCTGGGATTTCTTTGAAAGTGATCCTCATATGATTGAGTTTTCTTTTCTGAAATTTATTTAGGGCCCAGCGCATGAAGGAAAGGCCTCTTATTGATAATGTGGAAGCTTGTTCAAATCAGATCAGAAGATAATGATGAAGCGCAGGAGAGCTTTCTTGGTGAGGAGTCGGGTGTCTTCTGCTCCCTCTCTCCAATGCAGGTGCTCCATATCGTCAAAACTTTTTTGCACTAATCTAAGGTAGCATTTGGATTGATGGATTTGGATTTGAATTTTAGATTTAAAATCTTGTATTTCAAATCTCACATTTGAAATCTATGTATTTAAAATTTTTTGTTTGGGTAGTTTGAAAATTATCAAATGAAGAGATATGAGTTAAGACTTGAAACGAAAAAGAGAAAATAAGAAATGATGAGATTGTTTAAATTTTTTAATTGATAAGAGATTAAAAAAAATAAGAGTTACAAAGGTATCAATAGTGAAAATGCAAAAGGAACAAGCTGTTTGAATTGATTAGAGTTTCAAATGACTAAAGTGTAGAGGAAATTTGAAATTACAAAAGAATTATTAATTTGAAATGGATTGGGATTTGAATTAAATCCAAATTTATAAATTTTTGCGTATCCAAATGAGAAATTTGGTCCAAATCCGAATCCTTATTAATCCAAATGCACCATAAAAGTATTTGGGAGTTATTGTAGTGCAGCAGTTCTATGTTATGCTAGTTTTGGATTTTGACTGGACAGAGAGTTTATGGATTCGCAGCTTGTTTGGTCGCTGGTCTTGTTTGCATGTTAGTGGTAAGAGAAATTTGGTGATGTTCTTTCAGTTGTGTACTTTGCTTAAATAATTTAAAATGTATTGGTCTTCTAGATCTTGGTCAGATAAATCACAGATGGACCATACTCTTGACCATAACAGTGTCATGTCATGTCATTCCTTTTGGCTTTTGCAGCTTACCTTATCAATGCATGAACCATAATAGGTTTTTTTGTTAATAGTTGACTTTTTTTTTTTTTTTACCATAGTTGGTATTAATCAGCAATGCCTTTTCCCCTCTCTCTAGACACAGGTTCATTTTATTGGTAACAAACCATCTGGTAATCAGCGTTACTGACTAATCCAAATTCAAACTGACTCGGCCTCAAATGGGAAGAAGCTCTCCCAAGTTATTTTTGTCCACTAGTCTTAAGACCTTTCTCAAGAAGTGTTAAATCCCTTGCTGTACTAAATAACTCAGCTGTCGTCCCGTCCCATTAGTGGCATAAATTCATCTTTAAATTTACAGTAAATGGGAGACAGTGAAATTACACTTCAAATGAATTTTAGTTAACTGCTGTAATAAGTTCACCGCAAATGTTAAAGCTTATAGACTTGCAATGACATGGCTGTCAAATGCAAGATTTCTTTTTACTTCCTGATTGAGTGCCACTTGAAAGGAAACTGTTTGTGGAAACCGCCTTCAAGGGAAACTACTCCTTACATGCTAATGCTATCCCGTATATATATATATATATATATATTCTGCTGTCACTAGTGAATGACTCTTACCTTTAGGTTCGTGCAATGTTGATTGTTGGCAATGTGGCATATAAATTTCAACCAAGGCTTGAAAAAAAGTTGAAGATGATATCATAATTGAACAATTAATCTAACTTTCTATTTAAAGTTTTTCTGGATGCATTCTAGATGGCTGATAATTTTTTTTCAGTGCAGCAGCAACCTCAAGTCATCAGTGTAATTCAACTTTAATTATTTTATTTTGGTTTGCAGTCAGTGGTTGTCTTTGCCAAACCCATCAAATTTGCAGTATTGTTCACCTTTGGTAACCTGTTAGCAATTGGAAGGTAGATGCAGTCTCCCTCTTGTTGACATATGAGAGTTTAAGAAATAGTTTATCTGGAGTTAAAGCAGCAAGAAAACGCGTCAAAATTTGGGAACATCCTATGAGTTAAGTCTGGTTTTGTTGTCTATTTAACCATTCATAGGTGATTGTTTTATATATCTGGCAGCACGGCTTTCCTGGTAGGACCTGCACAGCAAATTGGAATGATGTTTGACCCTGTCCGTGTGGTTGCAACAGCCATATACCTTGGATGTGTAGTTATAGCTCTTGTTTGTGCTCTTCTGGTAAGTTCCTTGATCTTCAACGTCAGATGCAGGGATATGCATGTCTAGATGAATCTATGAAGTTGCATTTTTAGTGATCTATTGTAATTTGCTACTGTCCAACGAATCGGATATGCAAGAAATCCTGAACAATGTTTTTTACTTCTGTGCAGTCCGTAAGTACATCCACACGAATTTATTTATGTTAGTGATACGAAACCTGCATTCATAAATGACAGTATGCCTATTTGGACGCTACATGTTCAAGTTCATTCAGCATACAGTAAGCCATTAAAGTTTTGCCCCCCTCCCCTTTTTGCAGATCCGCAGTAAGGTTTTGACGATAATTGCTATCATAGGTGAGATGTGCGCGCTTATATGGTAAGTTTGCCTTCGACAGACCTGCTTTACCTGACATGAATTTGTGGTATCAAAATCATTTTCTCAGATGAACGGCTTCTCAAAATGAGTTATATTCATGGAGCATGTTGAATTTTTATGGGGATCATTTACTAGCTGGTAGTTATTGCAGGTACAGTCTGAGTTATATACCTTTTGCTCGAAGAATGTTATCTGAGTTGATGGTCCGTTTTTGTGACACTGAGCTATGAAAATATGCAGCAAGAAATTTTATTGATCCAGATTCTTGTAGGCTTCATCGAATGGTGTTAAATTCGTGGAGTTGCTCAGATTGAGCACGTGAGTTGGCATTTTCTCATGGTTGTTACAAACGTCAAACGTCAGATTTTGTACCAGCCAGGATTCTTTGTTGGCCAGATACCGACGAGGATTCGTGTTTTATGCTCCTGTTCTTTTTTATTTTCTTGTTACTGTGGTGTAACTAAAATTTGTTTATAAAAAAGTTGTTAGCACGATGTAATAGAAAAACCATTTGAAGTGGGGTGTTTAATTTTTTTTTTAAAAAAAAAGCGGGTAAATTGATGGCCAGGAATCATAAATTAAAAAATGTGCTGTGATCGCAAGAGGTTAAATTTCGGCGTTGATAAGGGCACGCCTCGTCGGCTTGTTCGTTAACAACGTTTCTTTTCTTTCTTTCTTATTTTTGTTGCGTTTTTGATTTTTTTTTTTTTTTGGTATGATGAAATAGAAGTGTTAGGGGCTTGCCTGTCACGAGAAGGGAACGGAAAGCTCATGGGCTCTTTCGAAGGTCCATGCTTTCGCTGTCTTTTCTGTTTTTCCGTTTCTGTACAGATGTGCTGTCTGTCACTCTTTCTTGAGTGTTGTTTTTTTTTTAGATAATTATATCCAAGTACAAGTAAAAAAAAATTATTTATAAATAAGGATTAATACAGAATGGATTATTATTAAAATGAAAATGTGATTTATTTTTTTTTTAAGGAGACTTGTTAATCATTATCTATGTATAATTTGTTTGAGTGGTTTTTAAATCTGTTTTCTTTTTGGGTAACATTGTAATTTTTTTTTTTGAATTACAAAGCCACAGTAAAACCTGCAAAAAGATTAAAATTTAGTCATATTTAAAACCATGAGGTTTTTATAATCATGTGGTGGTATATCAAAAATTATAATATTAAATGTATCATGTAAATGCCAATGAGTTAAAAGATCAGCGCATCTGTTTACTTCTCTACAAACATAATCAAAAGTGATCATTCAATCTTTCATAACAAGATTTCTGATCTTCTTGATAGTGTCAGAATAATAATGACTCTCAGAGTAAGTACGATTAATGAATGATGATGCCTCTATCGAATTAGAGTAGATATTAACTCTCAATAACATTGAATTTTTGTTTATACATCTATCGCTCTGTCTTGTGTTCGGAGTGATATCCCCTCTTAAACTGGTGTGTGAGCCCAATGGGCTATATCTTTCTGTGGGGATCTAGATGACCAAAAGTTGATCCGCTTAAATTCCCAGAATGGAGGTCTGACCCCTGAAAAGAAAGGACCGAAAGAGAGGTTTCTCTCTTCTTCTTCTTCTCGTTTTTTTTTTGTTTTGTTTTGTTTTGGGGGGGGGGGCGGAGGGGGGGTGGTTGTCCAACCTTTCAGAGTCAACCCACATTCTGTTCTAATCATTATTAACGTGGGTAGGTCAAGCTCACAAGCCACTGAAAGTAACATTCTTGGAGCAGCTATCAATGTTTTCTTAATTTGTTAGTCTTTATAATCTTCACTCAATTGTAACTTAATTTTAAAATTTGTGTCTCGAAGCTTTGACTTAGTATAATAAAATTAAAATTATAAGGAGGAATTTCAATAAAATGAAAACAAAAGATTACTGTTACGTACATTTGAAATGAGAGGTCCTGTATCGTGTTGTCCACCAACCCCATTGGCCATAAATGAAGAGGATGGCTGTAGCCGCCTCGCGGGTGCTGCTTGTTGCCACCTAACACTAACACTAACAACACCCTCCGTTTCACAAACTCAACATGACGCCTTTCATTCAACTGCCTATCATATCACACCCCCCCACTGCTTATCACGTGCCCGCCTGCCCCCCTCCCTCCCTTTTCCCGCCACCCCCCCCCCCTCCTTTGCTTTATTTATGTATAAGCCTCCAAGCTGGACCCACCACCTGGCAGGTCGCTCTTTTGTCCTCTTCTTTGCACCTCCTTCCGCTTTTGAAAATTTCACCCCCTCTCCTCCATTCTTCTTACATGTCTAATTCAACAATATCTCCACAACACCTTTCTCTTGCTCGAGGAAATCCTTGTTAGATGGCGTTACGTCCCCATAAATTTATATTCTTGCGCTGCCCATCGTTTTGTTTCTTTCTTTTGCTTTTTAGATGTCAATGTTTTTTTTTCCTTAGTTTAATGCTCACACCCTGTCACTCTTCTGCTAATATACATGAAAAATAATGGACCAGAAGAGAATATGGTTTTGAGTTTTACGGGCAACGCGAAACACAAAAGCCACTCCTGATGTTCCACGCAGAAAGAGAGCTTTGATAAAGGTAGTGCGGGCAGGATATTGGGTACTCACTTTTACGTTTTTAAAGCAATAACCAAAATAATTCGGGGTGGGGAATTGGGTTGGTGAAATAGTTAATATCCCTCGTGATGATTTGGAATCGACTTTAATCCGAATATCTTGAATATAAATTTACAGGAACCAGAAGAAAGTGGTAAGTTAAGGCATGAAGGTCCAACTCACTGCCGATCTAGTTTTCACAATTCGCCAGCTAACCACTCATTGCAGTGTGAGTGAATGGTCCATCAGCTAACTACAGATAAACAACCTACCACCATCTAACCCCATATTTCCGCCACCAGCCAGCCCGGCCATGCTTCAAATTAACACCTCATTAGCATCCTACTAGGTTTTCAATAAAAAAAAAAAAAAACTTCTTTTTGTAGTGGACGAGACAAAGGCTGGTGGTGTTCATTTAATATACCTGGATTCTTTTGTTCCATTCTAAAAACTCATTATTTTTTAAACTGCTCATATTCGAAATTCGAAGACTTTGTTTTCTTTTCCCAACAGCAGGGGCACTTTCAAGGGATTAATTAAATTAATGAAGAGTGCACATAGCCATAAAGTCATCCCGAGACAACGCAGGCAAGCCCCAGAATAAATGTGCACTAGAGAGCAAATTAACTTTTAGTGCTACACCCTTTTTTCTGAGATTTGGATCTGCGCATCTGCGTGCGTGGACATAAATCGGATTTTCGCTGGTCTAGAATCTCGGCTTTTTGGGTACAATTCTATCAACCTATAGATCTTTCTTTCTTTTTTTCTTTTTTGGGGCATCATAACTAGTAATATATACGATATCCAAGTGATGTGGAACAAGGAAGGAGCACACGCAATTCTCAGTGGCGGACCGAATATAAGAAATTAAACAAGCAGCACAGGAATGCTGTAGCTGAAACGATCGACAAGGTAATATGGAGCGTCACATTCAGGTAATTTGCTTCCATTTCTGGTTAGTTCGAAGAATATTACAGATTACACGTGGAAGCGGCGTCTCTTGGACATCTCATCAGGTTAGCATACATGGCTCTTAGAATGAGTGAAAGAGTAAGAGCGAAGGCTTCAGGCAAGGGCTCCTCAACCAACCAAACGACCAATTGCATTATCACATTAAATAACTCGTTTCCAAACTTTGACTCTCATCCTTTTTTAATCTGAAGATTTTTTATTATTTTTTTCGGAATTCCAGTTTGCAATTTGCCAGCCAGTGTCGATGTCATTTCGCAAAAGCCGCAACCTCGATCGATCCCTGTCAAAGCCTCATGTACTGCCGATCATTTCAACGTCTATATGTCAAAGAAGCAATAAAAAACACACGCCCAACCGCTTAGGGATGCCGCATTTGATCCTTCAAGTTGATGTACTATTATTTTGGCTTATTAAATTTGCTATATATAATTAAGCCATGCCCGACATTGCAAAACTGACTTGTTTTTCCCTTTATTTCTTCCCCGTGGTTTTGCTCTAAGAATGGATTTCTTTCGACTGATCTATCTGTCCCTCTCTCCACACACACACACACACATATATGTATATCTCTCTCTCTTTCTATCGATATACTTATATTTTAGAGAGGGGGGGAGAGGGGTTGAGCTTTTTGTTTAATCACTTGATGTACATCTTGTTTCTTTTATTTTCAATTGACTTCACGTGCATGCGTCAGACATGAAAGGGACCACAAATAATTGCAGTCGTCCAGCCGGGGCGACTCGGCCGCAGGGACGGATTCACGTTTGCGATAGTGGGAGCAGTAGCCCCCACAGCCAAAAAAAAATTACTTAAAATAATTTAGATTGTATTTTTATTATCTCCTCAAAAAAAAATTAATTGCCCCTCACTTTAAAAGAATTTCATTCATTTTTTTATAAAATTTTACTTATCCTGTTAAAAAATTTATTATCTGAAACTACAAATATATATATATATAACCTTGAATATCAATGATTTTATGATGAAAAAGTAATAGTTAAAAAAATTGTTAATAAAAAAAATTTGTACAGAATATTTTCAATCATGTAATTTTTTTGGAGGTAAAATGATGATAAGAAAATGAAAAAGTTTTTGTGTGCAAAATTCTCTTCCATACAAAAGAGATATGCTTTGTCAACTAAATTTAGGTGTTGGATGTGAAAAATGTAAAATATTTTTAATATTTTAATGTATAATTAATGTATTTTTTAAAAAGTGCTTTTATGTATAGATCACTTTATATTTATTTTAAAGTAAAATATTTTATTAAATAAAAATAAATATAAAAAGATGATGTAAATTCAAATACATCTAACTAGTTTATTAAAGTGATATTTAATTAAAAACATCTTACATTTTTAAGTGAGGGAGTATAAATTTTATTTAATGAAAATTAAAAAACATGATACTATATATAAAGAGAGTCTTTTGTGTTATTCTAATGCTATCTTTATGTGTTGTTTAAAATATTTAATTTTATTAACTTATATAAAAAATATAAATATAAACATAAATATTTTTTAAAAAAATATAAATATTTATTTGAAATATAAATTATGCCTTCATTAATTTATTTTTTTGGGTCCGTCACTGCTTGGGTGGAATATCGTGTAAAGGCTTCGGCCTGGTTGTGTAAATTTCAAAGGGCAACAATGAAAAAAAAAAGGCAACATTTTCGAGTCAATACATGCACGTACATACAAACCCACCAAAATATACGAATAATTTTAGAGTGAGGTAGCAAGAGCTTGCATTTTCTCTCGCTGACTGGGACAAATACTTGCCCCGTCAGCGTTGCCTCTCTCTCCCATATCAAGCCCATGCGTTGGTTTTTCGCTTCTCAGCCTCCATGAGGCGCTCCATCTTGAATTTTTCGCTCTCACCTCAACGCTACGATTCTACGAATTTGACAGTTTGCGCCTTTTTTTTTCCCCCCCTGACCGAGTATGACAGATTTAAGTGTTTTCCAGACCATGTAAAAAAGAAATATTATATTCTTCTCTATTTCACTGTTGATCTAGGTTCTAAAAGCTTCCAGATAGACATCAGGGTCCAGCAAGCGTTTGTAGATTAATCACCGCCACCAAATTCCTTACATTATCAATTTTATATCAATAGAAATAGTTTTAAATATAAATTATTGAAAAATAATTTTAAAAAACTAATATATATTTTTATAAATAGTTTTAAATATAAATTATTGAAAAATAATTTTAAAAAACAAATATATATTTTTATAAATAACTTAATTAATTTTTTAATACTGTAAATTAATTATCTAGCCCTTATATCTAATATCATAGAAAGGGTGAAGGTAGTATATATTGAGAAAGAAATGATAAAAAATGGTCTGAAATAGTTTTGATATATATAAAAAAAAATTACGAGAGGTACTAATGCAAAAAATAGAATAGATAATTTTAAATTTTATTAAAAATAGTAAAGGAAAGTCAAGGAAAACACTCAAAACTTGTTAAATGAGAGATCTTTTTTAGCGACATTTTTTAAATTTTGGTGAATAATAAAATACAAAGATATTATGAATTTTATATAATTAATTTCATTTAATGAGATAAAGTTTGTTTTTATTTTTGTTATATTTAATATTAGATGGAGTATAAAGGATATGTTACAAGATAGCTGATAACGACAAGAGACGACAACGGGGTCCTAAAATTGATATTTTTTAGACAGCGATGACATGCGTAAATATGCTTCCAAAATGATGAAAAGATGTATAAATTAAATAAATTTGTCTGGGAGAGGCTAAAGGCCAACTCGTGATTGAGCATCTGTTGATATTTGGAAATTGGAAAATGAACGAGGTTTTTTTTTTTTTTTGGGAAATTAAACAAGGTTTGATTGGTGACAGGTTATCGTTAAACGAATTTGATGGTATATTTATAATATTAATATTAATATATTATACATCCGGATGTGCAGCCTGCATGTGGACAGCTTTTCCACCAAGATTAAAATTTAATTGAGGTTAATAAATTGATATTAGAAGGAAAGTCAATGAATATAACATGATTTATATTTAAATATTTTTTTAAAAGTCAATTGCATAAATTGAAATTTTTTAGATGATTTTATTAAAAAATCAGTTGAAATGTACAATGATAAAAATAAATATATATTTTTTCTATATATTTTTGTGACTAAAAAAATGTGAAATAAATTAATGAATTATAAATTAAATGCTAATTTTAATCCATATTCTCACACATTATAATTATAATTATGTTTTAATGTTGTAATTTAAAATGTTCAGATTCAGAAAAACTGTAATATGTATTATAATATAAATAAGTTATAATTAATCCTCTCATTTTTTTATTTATTTCCTTTCTCCATCCCCTTCACTGCAGCCTGAATCCCTCCTCCTCAACTCACTCCTCTCCTCTTTCCTCTTCTTTTCACCTCCACTGACGGCACTCCCTTCTCAGTCCTCATATTATATTATTATTAACTTTCTCCACCTCTAATCTCCTCCCATCTAATTAATCAAAAAGAAAAGTCCCATTTGATTTCTTTATTCACATCTTAAACACCTCTGTGATTTCTTCATTCATCGGTAGATAAATAAAGATGTAGATTTTAGAGAGCTGATTAAAGAATAAAAAGCAGAGAACAAAATGAAGGCGGGATAGATGCACAACAATTGGCAACCAGCGAAAGGAAGCAACAATCAGATAAGAAACGAGATGACACCAACTCGACTGAAGGCAACCCCAATGGATGACGTCATCGGTGATTGCATGCAACGCGAGCAGAGATCAGGCAAGAGAGAAGAGCTAGGAAGATACCAGTTGTGGATCGGGTGGGGTGAGACGCCAAGGATGAGAGAGAATATGACAATTATTTAATGGTTACCATCGTTTTGAAGATGAAGCACCTCAAGAAGCTCAAAATTTTAGCTTCGATGAGAACGCTCGTTCAACCCTGGGTTGATATTTTTTTATGCCAGATAAGATTTCAGCAAAGTTAATGAGCTTTTTATCTTGCAATTGAGATCAGGGTCATCCCAACTTTAGTTAGAAGATAATCCAAACACACACTACGATTGTCCTGACGTGCTTACCACTAAAGCAAGGGACCCAACGAGGCTTCAGGTTTTTTTTTTTTTTTTTCTCTGGAGAGATAAACAAGGCAAGCCAACAATGCAATGTTACTTATTATTTAATATGATGCAGCTGTATGTCGCAACATTGGACTACGCCAATGATTTTTTATTTTTTTGTACAATATAGGTTTGAAAAAAATCTTTAAATCATCCAATCTTCTTTTTTATTTTTAAGAAATTCCCTTAAAATTGAATACTATGTCACATGAGATTCTCGTCGAACGAAAAAAATGAATTTGTCGGAATCACATTTATGCTGACCATAATATGTTTATGTGTCGATGGTATAATTATAAATAATTAAATATTTATATATAAATTATATTATATTTAACGGGTGTGAAATATTCACTTTAAAATTACCATACGTGACAAAAAGAATTTAAGAATGCGTGTTTTGACAGGTTACTTAAAAAAGGTCATGTGAGCTCGACACCCAAAAAAAAAAAGTCACGTGAGCCTTCATGACGCTCGGGTCACATGTGCAGGTGAAGTAAATAGTTAAACTTAAAACGAATAAAAAGTAAATAGTCAAATCATTTAGATCAATCAAGCTTGCGATGAGCGGCCATGGGCAAAGTTGAATGCAGTTCAATCCCCAACCCCTGTTGCCACGGAGTAAATTTAGTTGAAATGGGAATGCTTTCTACTTCTACTTTCCATATGTACCTGTACGGAAAGATTAATTTATCCTATATCGTGGATGATACGGATACTTCGAATTTTACCCAAAAAAAATAAATAAATAATTTAGTTATATTCCACTTTATCGATTGTTAACGTCGTCGTCGTCGTCGTCATTATTAATCAGATGCATGGCAGACTACGGTTTCGTATTCCTCGAGAGAACGTAGCTGATTCTATAATGCGGTTGAATTCAAAACATGTGTGATACTCTTGTTTGATTAGTGGAGGATTTAGTGAATCCTCTTTAATTAGGTAAATTTTGGATCAGATTGCGCATTGTATAGTCGCAAGTTGACAGGCCGTAGTGAACAATATGAGATAGGCGACGGAACTTACAGCATAGTGCTGTCATTTTGTTTTTTGTTTTTTTTTATTTTTGTTTTTGTTTTTTTGTTGATGCGTCTCAAAGACGCAACCACTACCCTCCTATTTATTTAATATCCGGTGAAAAGCCGAGACCGTGGCCTCCACCATTTATAAGTTCAAAGTTCTCATTGCCCCCAAGTTTATTTCTTGCTTCTCTTGCCTTATTTATAAATTATTTTTAATATTTTATTAAAATACAAAGTTTAAAATTTATTGACTTTATCTAAAAATTTAATAATTTTTATTTTATTTTTATTAAATATACACATTTTAATAGTATAATTTTTTTTCTAACATTCAATAGAGGACAAATAAAAAAATTATAATGAAGATTTAATAAA